ACAGCAGTGTGTTTCTAATTTCCAAAAGAAGATTAAAAGGGCCCTCGGTCCTCTTTGTTTAGCTACCTCAAATCCTATAAAAATAATAGAACCTAAGTTAGCATGAGAAATACATTTTCACTGTCCTGGAAAATAAGAAAGCAAGGAGTAGCTTTTGTTTATGAAGAGACAACTAGTGTGAATAAATCTGATGACTTGTTGATGAAGTTATAAAATGAATATAACCCAATGCACTCTAGATTCAATGACTTGATGATAATAAAACACTTGATGAAGCTCGATGATTTCTCCCCACTATATTAATTTAAGATGGCTCAGATAACAAAAGTCAGCTGAGAATTTTCAACTGAAGGAAAAACAGAGATGGGTCATTTAAGGAAAAGGTGTAAGCTGGCAATAGCTATGGGAATGAGGTAAGACCAACCGAATCCCAATGATTTGGAAGGAATGGGTGCATACTGAGGAACTAATTAAAATTTCCCAAGCACCCAGCAAAATGCAAGAATGTATATAAATTGCATAGAAAAAATGAGGTGAGGTCTTGAAAAATAAGAATTATATGTAGGGAAAAAAACTTGATCAATGTTGGGTTTAAAAGTTGGCAGAAAGCCTGAGTATGGACTGGGATGAAGGAAACAGAGAGGGCAGGGTTATAAGGAAAAACCTACTTGAAAGAGTTGGTAGTACAATATGATAGTGGAGAATTGTGCCATCCAATGAAAGTATCATTACTGCATTTAAAGTGCTCAGAATGAATGTGGCAGAAATAGCAAAGCCCAACCTGATCTTTAACAAGGCTGTATTTTAAATTGTGACCTTAGTTGTATATAATTTATTCTCTTCCAGATTATATCCCACCCAATTTAAGAGAAATCAACAGAAAAATTAGACCTTTTCCTTAATGGTCCCAAGAATATTCAGAGGTCCAGTGGCCTCTCCAGGACTGCTTCTAGATTGTTTACCCCCAGTGACAAGTTTTCCTTGACCTGATGATCTGTAGATACAAAGTCCTCCCCCTGGAAGTACATATGAATGGGAGAATGCCAATCATCCCTCGGGTGGTTTAGATTTTTTTAATCATTCATGGGTCTCATATAGTCCAAATATTTTACATACTGTTCCATAATAATATATTCCCATTGTATCAGTCCATTTTCTGCTTATAACAGAATATCTGAAACTGGATAATTTATAAAGACAGTAAAATTTATTTCTTACAGGTTTGGAGGCTGGGAAGTCCACAGTCTAGAGTGCATCTGGTGAGGCTCTTCTAGGTGGGAACTCTCTAAGAGTCCCATGGCAACACAGGTAATCACACGGTTGTGATTGCCATTGATGGCAAGAGCTCTTTAACGTGCTTACTTTCTCTCCTTGTAAAGCCATGAGTGCCACTCCCATGACAACTCGCTAAACTATTAACCCATTACTTCATGAATGGATTAGCCCATTCATGAGGGCATAGTCATCACAATCCCATCACCTCCTAAAGGCCCCACCTTTCAACACTGCTGTAGTCTGATTTCCCACTCCATTAACACTGTTACAATGGAGATCAAGCTTCAATGAGTTTTGGCAGGACATTCAATTCACAGTACTCATAGCCATAAAGTGGGAATATTCTAGTATTTGCAAGACAACATCTTCAAAGAGACTGTGGGAGTCTACAGCTAATCTGAACCATAACCAAACACCTAATGTTATCACTACAGATACAGATACATCAAAAGAATCTCAAGACATTGGTGGTTTTTGTGTATGGGTTCATGTCAATCTGTTGGTGTTAGTTATTTTCCTCAAGTTCACAAAATTAGTGAATATGAAATGATTTGGGAAAGATGATACAAAAATAAGTAAGTCTTTTTGACCACCATAATGTTATCAAAAAGTATGACTGTCCTCAACATTTCTCAAGCTATCCCTATGCTTTTCATGTCATAGTCTGTGCTTTGGCATCTCTTTGAAATTATAGGCTTTTGTATGTGGAGAGTACCTAATCCAACTCTTTCTTCCTACAGATGGAGAGAGAGAGGCCTTGAGAGGTGCAGTTGTTTGGGCCAGGTGGCATACATAGCCATATGTGATATAGTAGCAAAGTGATAGCAAAGTCTACAGTAGAGTTCCTGGCAACTGGCTTGCAGGTCAGTCCTCAGAACATGCTGCTGTCATCCTTTCTCCTGTTCACCTTCTTACTCCAAAGCTGGAGTATTTGTATTAGAAAAGGAAGCTTGAGGCCGGCCTGGTGGCGCACTGGATAGTGCGCCGCTTGGGAAGCGCGGCGGCGCTCCCGCCCGAGGGTGCGGAGCCCACAGACAGGCCGGTTCCCGCTGGCTGGCTGAGCGAGGCGCGGGAGCGACGCCGAGGGTTGCGATCCCGTTGCCGGTCCCCGGTCCGGTACGGGGGCAACACTGAGGGTTGCGATCCGTTGCCAGACACGGAAAAAGTCAAAAGTCAAAAGACAAAAAAAAAAAAAGAAAGAAAAGGAAGCTTGAGAAATAGTTATCTAAAAGAGCAATAAAATATATGGCTGACATATAATATGTGGACATGTGGATTTGTATTTGCATTTCAAATAACAATCTAATGTATTAATACATTTCCTCCACTTGCTTACTATATTGCTTTCCATTAAGAATTTAGCATTTGGGGAGGAGGGCTAATGAGAAATTAATGAGAAATTGGTTAATGGACACAGAGAATGATTACGTATTGTAATGATGAAAAAACTATCCTGATTTGACCAGCACACATTGTAAACAACTGTTGATAGTCAACTTTGTACCCCACAAATACGTTAAATAATCTTTTGATATAAAAAAATTATTTTTAAAAAATAAACATGAAGCCCAAATTTTAAAAAGAAAGAATTTAGCATTTGTATCACAAAAAAGTTAAACCATTAGATATTACCACTAAAAATAACTTAGATTTTAATCATTCATCCAGGTTTTATTTAGTTGGTACTCAATTTTACAGTTTTAATTATTTAAAATGTAGATATTTAAGATTCAACATTTACTAACATTTAATCTTCAGAATTTATTTCAGAAATAAAGTATTGCCTTTGGTTTCAAAAAAATTATAAATATCTCTTAACAGATGGTAATTTTATGTTCATTTTCAGAGAAATTTAGCTACATTAGAAGCTGTTTCCTGACACCTATAATCTTCTAAATTGACTTATTTGATGCTCTTCAGATCTATTTTCTAAAGATTTACATTTTATCTCTGTTGCTGCTTTTGAAATGCTCTCCATGATTGTGAATCTATCTAATGTAATTTTCACATTTGGTGCCACTTTTCTCAAATGACAATACAGGGCAGGAAGCATGTTGTGTTGTTTCATACCAACCTGGTAATTTTTATTCAAAATATGGCTTAAATATAAGGAAGAGAGGGAGAGAGGGAGAGCTGAAGGTGTCCAAGTAAGAAAAATTTCTGTTATACAGAAGGTGGGGTGGGGGTAAGCCGTGGAGCAAGACAGGGTGATAAAGAAAAAAAATCTTGGCAGAAATGAGCCTCTGAGCAGTAACAAACTGAGGGATACAGAGTTGGTCTGTCCCCTCATCTTTAGCCTATGTTCTACCACATTTTCAGCACCTCATTTAGCTTTTCTTAAAGAAATTCAAGTAACAATAACAATAATGTCACGCCGATTTCTTATGTTTTAATCAAAACCTTCAGCAATGCCCACATGCTACTTGGCAATACTTAAAAGGATTCTGGGGAAACCAAATATGTTAGCAACCAGATCTACTTTAAAAACAATATGACCCATGGCATTAAGAGTGTATGCCTCCCTGCCAGCAGTGTTTTTCTTGGGTAAACTTTGACTTCATGCTAAAATGAAAAGGGAGGCGTTTGTATATATATGGGGTGTGTGTAATATGCCAATGTTATAAATTCTGCCTCTCTCTCTCCTCTCCCCCGCCCCCTTTCTGGACTCCATACACTTAAGCCTCTTAGAAAAGATCTCTTACCTCTTATCCAAGTAACGCAAAATTTTGAACTTTGGAACTACATAATAAACGAGATCACTGTAAATACTCTGTAACTGAACAATATTTAAGTTGACCAAAAACAATCGTCCTCATTGCGTTGCAGGCAGAGCCTGTCTGCTTTCTCCCACTTGGGCAGGAATAGGAAGGAAGTCACCAGCAGTTAGCAGAGTGGAGTGTCAGTGCACGTTTCTAAACTGGACAACTTCGTGGACTCCCTGCCACTTGGCCTGAATTCGTGTCCAGCTGAGGACGCTCGGCGGGAGTCTTGCCCGGCGCCTGGGATCGGTGGCCACACCTTCCCACACTCGCACTGTCGCTGTCCTCGCGCAGCCAAGGTCCCCGGGTCTGAGAACAAACCTGCAGGAGGGTGCACCCCGGCCGCGCCTCCTCACGACAGTCTCGGCGGTGCATCCTGGTCACACTCGCTCGTGGGGGCGAGCCTCGTCTCCTGCTGGGTTTCCCGGCTGCTCAGTTCCTGACCTGTCCGGAGCCTACAAAAACAAGCAAACAAAATAGCTCGTTCCCGCGCTCTCGCCCCCGTGAGTCACCCTACAAGGTTGCTCTCCCCAACCCTCCCGGCGTCAGGAAAGGGAGTAAACCTCCGGGATTTGCCTAAAGTGGAGGGTTGACACTTGCTTTGTTATTGAGAGAAGGGGAGGCAAGTGTGTCGCGTGCGAGAGGCCGGCGCCCCGGCTCCCCTCGGAGCTTCCGAGAGCGGCACGCGCCGTAATTCCCTCTCCGGAGCCTTCCAGATTTCCACGACAATGACATCACTCGGCGCCGCCGGCCCGATGACAGCTGGGGGGTTTTCCTGGGCGCGCGGCGGGCCGGGGCGGAGGCGCAGGAGCTCTCCGGGTGCAGCAAGAGGCGGAGGCGCGGGCTCGGGGAGAGGCGCCCCCAGCAGGCGGAGGCGGACGGGCCGGCCGGGGGCGGGCAGGGGCGGGGCGCGCAGCCCCTCCGGCCGTCATTGGCCGCTGGCGGGCGCACGTCACCCAGGCTGGTGCTCTCCTCCAGACCCTGTGGAATCGGAGCCGAGGACGAGCCGAAAATGCAGATTTAGCATCAAGCACAGATACACGCTCGCTCCTTCTCTCCGATACACACAGCTCCCCACATTCGCACCCCTGCCAGCAAGCCAGGCCGCCCGACTGCACGGATTGCCCGCCAGCCAGAGGCTGGCGGAGAACACACGCTGATCTGCTGCTTTGCAAGCCCTTATTCGGTCTCTTTCTCTATACAAAGATTGGCTGGGGGGAAATAAACTGTATCTATTTATTGAAATTTGCACCTTTCCTCCGGACCCCTGCTCCGCCAGCCTGCGCGCCTCCTAGCACCACTTTTCGCTCCCGAGGAAGGATGAAGGGTGTTTGTGTTTCCCAGTGGAAGGCGGCCGCCTTGCTCCTCTTCTGTGTCACGGTTTTTGCATCTGCCGAGAGACCGGTCTTCACGAATCATTTTCTTGTGGAGTTGCAGAAAGGGGGAGAGGAAGAAGCTCGCCAGGTTGCAGCAGAACACGGCTTCGGAGTCCGAAAGGTGAGACCTCTCATGCATTTCGCATGCTGTTTCAAAAGGGGAGGGGGTGGGCAGCCTGCGCAATCTCGTTGCAGATTTGCAAGTTTTATCTTCCTCATGCGATGCAGATATTCTGCCATCGGCTCTTTAACACGACATTGCCTCCGGTGATCTTTCACGGGTTATGTAATTAAAACGTCCTTCATCTGTATCAGTAAGGTCATCAAAATAATTTATTGCTCTTTGACTTGGTGGCAAAAATTGGATAACACCTTTCAAAGGATGCCGTGCTCCCGGGCTGCTGTCCGAGGTACCAAGTTATCGAGGCTGCCTGGGATTGGAGGGACGAAGCCCTGAACAGCTGGGCTTGGCTTAGGCTGCTTTGCTAGGACGTCTCCCCACCCCCACCCCCCAGAGAAAGAATAGTTTCCGACCAACAGGGCTCGAAGCTGTCCACATTGCAGTCCACTTCGGTGCTTCTCCGACCCGCGCCGAGAGGTCGTCCCTTGCAATGACTTCGGTCCCTGTGCTTTTCCAGGGACAACAGCTTTCAGACTCTAGGAGACTTGGAGACCTAAACTGGTCTCTCTATCCAAACTCGGGGCGGAACTTTCGCGCCCTCGCCCCTGCCCACGACCGCCCACCCCCGGAGTTCTAGATTCCAGGCTGAAGGAACCCGAAAGAGACTCTGAGGGAGGTTCCCTACGGAGAAGTCGGGGTGTCCTCTCCTGATATGTGGGAGGCCAGCCTGGCTTACCCAGAGAGCGCAGGGATCCCCATTCGAAGAAGTTGTCGGAGTTCAGCTGTTTGGGCAGCTTTAGGAGGCTGCCAGCCTCGGACGCCTGGAGACTCCTATAGAGACTCCAAGGTACCCATCCCGGGAGGGCAGGGAGAGGAAAGCGCTGGGTGGGGCCGAGGCTGACCAGCTCGCTTCTCCTGCGAATTATCTGTGTCAGCGATCTCAAGCGTCCTCAGGGGACCTGAAGCGGGGTGCAGTGGAGTGAAGGTGCGGGAGAAGTGGGGTGGAGGGGAACCAAGACCGAGGGATGCAGCTTGGCTCCCAGAGCTGGGTGGAGGCCAGTGAGGTTTCAGGCCCCATCGCGTCCCTCCCGGTGCCAGGAGGAGAGAAGCGTGAGATGAGCGGTGGGTGCTTTGGGCTGTTGATTTTTGCCTTGAAGAGCCGTGCGGACTGGGGCACCTCTGTCGCTTCTGTCCCGACTTCCCACGTCTGCTGCCTCTCTCCCAGCCACCGGAAGGGCTCGGTTAGATGCGGCGGGCTCTCCCGCCTGCAAAGGGCGTGGGCAGCAGCCGCGATTTCGATCCCAGGTAGATTTGTCAGCGAGTTTGACTGAGGTCTGGGAGGAGGCGCCCGGTCCGCTGGTGGCTCGCGGGCGGGTCTTGCAGAAAGGAACTTGTTGCTCCCGGGAAGCGTGGGTGCAGCAGCGGAGAGAAGGCGCCAGCTGAGGGAGCAGCCGCCCTAGCTCGGGCCCAGGGCCTGGGGGCTATTTCAAGAGCGACACCCAACACAGTAAACAAGCAGATCCTTCTTCCCCCCCCCCCCCCCCCCCCCTTCTTTTCTTGTTTTTTTTTTTTTTTT